AGTTTTCAAGTATGAATATAAGAGCATTATGTATTCCCAGAGGCATCAATTTTTACATTGATAAAAGAGAAACAAAGATTTCTAAATGAGTTATGAGTTCAAAAGTTATTTCAAGAGTAGTTACCTCTTTTAAGAGGGTAGTTTGAGAAATTATCTCAAACCAGAGGAAGAGTTATACTTTTAAACATATGAGCTGAGTATATTTTTAGGAGTAGTATTGAGCACCGATATGAGAATGAGTTTAGATAACTCAAGTCTCCATAAACCATATAGCCAACGTGGTTAGAAAGGGTCATACTTTTAGATGATTCCTTAATGTTTTTTAGCATAGACTAGCTGATCCACTTAGTTGAGAGGTTCTATACCCCGACCAAGTATAGGACAGCTCTCGCAGCGTGGGCGAGACATTGTATCATCACATAACTCATAGTGATGGTTGTCGGTTAGAGAAACTCCCACAGAGTTATATTGTATTTTTATATATACAAACTGAGTTATTATTGTATTCTTCAATACATTGAGTTGTTATCTACTATTTTAAAAGCTTTTCATAAATATTGCATCTTTTACTATTGTTTTATCCTTGAGTATCATGAGTTGAGTATCTTGAGTTGAGTATCATATATTTGTGTTAAGTATCTTATTCTTGAGTTGAGGTTAGTTGAGTGAGCTTAGAAGAGGTAAGTATGTTTTCTTTTTATCAAGTTCAAACCTATGTTTATGCTTTAGAATTCTCATTACATGCTAGTACATTCCACGTACTGAGCCATTTGTCTTGCATCATTTTATGATGCAGATACAGGTATTCAGGATCATCAACAGGAGCTTCGTTGATACCACATGCAGTTTGAGTTAGCTATGGTGAGCCTCCTTGCTTCTAGAGGGTTCCACTTGTACTTTCAGTTATATCAGTTGTTAGGATCTCATGGGTCTTGTCCCGACTTCCATCTTTGTCAGTTAGAGGCTTCATAGATAGATAGTAGAGTTTTAGAAGTCTGTTCATTTATTTGTTAAATGTTTTAAAGACTTAAGATGGCGAGTTGAATATATGATTTTTATTCAGAGTTATTCATTTGAGTTAAAGACTTTTAATTGAGTTACATAAATTTTATTCAGTTTTTAAGCTTTGTATGCTTGAGTTAGTCTTACGTTCATAGTCAGCCAGGATGAGGGTTCACTTGGGGACCAACAATGGTTCTCGAGTGTCGGCCACGTCCAGGGTGTAGGCTTGGGTCGTGACAAATACTTTGAAAACTCTTTATACTTTTTTAAAACTAGTACTCTATTTTAAATGTGAAAAATAATACTCCCTCCGTCCCATTTTATGTTAGGTAGTTTGACTCGGCACGGAGTTTAAGAAAGAAATGAAGTCTTTTAAAACTTGTGGTCCAAAAGGAATGATAGAAATTTGTGTGACTGTAAATCATTCATAAAGGGTAAAGTAGATATTTTATAGTTAAATTGTTACTTAATATAGAAATGTGTCATTCTTTTTGGGACTGACTAAAAAGGAAATTAAGTCATATAAATTGGGACAGAGGGAGTACTTATTTTAAAGGGTAACTAGACTTTTCTTGATCTGACTGAAATGCTTTTTTAAATTGTTTATGCTCTTCTTAAAATAATACTTATCTTCTCAAAGTGAAAATAGTACTTGTGGAACTATTTGTGTACCCTTAAACTCTTACTCAAATAATGTTTAAAATTCTTTCTCAAACTCATCTTTGATTGCTCAGAAAATCAACCAAGGACAAAAATGTTTGCTTTAAAAGATTCTCAAAATTTATAACTCAAAATAGGGTTCATGCTGAAATATAGATATGAACAAATCAACTCAAAGATCTCAATATCAATATAGAAAAAACTCAATACTCTGAATTGAAGAACTCAGAACTCAACGATACTACTCATCTCAAGAATACTCAAAATTAAGAGTAAAACCCTAGATTAATCTTTTATTGAATTTAGATAGACGTAGGGAATGAGGATGAACTTTCTCCATCAGTATGATAGCCTTAAATACTTGAAAGAACAAAGCTCTTGAAGATGTTTGAAGAAAAACTTGATTAGAAGACTTTAAACCCTAGCTTTTGTCTTTCTTGCGATTTCTTAGAGATGAAGGGTGGAGAAGAACCTTGGATAGAAAACCTTAGGATTCTTAAAGGGAATTTTGAACACGGAGCCTTTAGATCTTGAGAAATTGGAGAAAATTCCTTTCTTGGAGTTCTTGATCGTGGGAAGAAGAAGAATTTAGGAATTTTGAGAGTAGTTATACGTATAATGATGTTATTAGGTTGTAAGATGGACTCAGGGAAGTTGATTTAGGATAAAAGGTCAAGAATACCCTTCTAGTAACATAAGAAAATCATAAAAATCAAAGAAAACAACCTTTTAATGAATCTCATCGATCAAATCGCTCATCTGGAGCTCCTCGCCAAAAATACTCAGCGGATTGTCCATTGGGACTTTGGATCGCCCAAATGGACAGAAGCTTAAGGGTTTCGGAACAATTCGGTGAGCTAATTCGGTGATTCGCTAACCCATTCGGCTGATCACCGATTGAGCAGGTGAGTTCGCTCAATTTCTCAGCCCGGGTATATTCCAGTAAAACAACCATAACTTTTTGCTCCGAACTCGGAATAAGGCAAACTTTGTCGCATTGGAAAGAAGACTCATATACCTTTAATTTGATAGGTTATAAGTGACCTAATTAATTATAATCTGAGAGATATAAGTGTTTGAAGTTGACCTTTATATGAACTCATGCGAGAATTTAGCCAATAGGAATGCTTTGAACTTGGCTTGGTGTTTGAGGTCCCTTATGACCTTAGATCACTTTAGATACTCTTAATATACTTAGTAAAGGACTTTATAATCCATGAGGAAGTAGGACATCACCCAATGCCTTGGTGATCATAAATAAGGATTCCTTGACAGAAAAAATCGAGAGATAATACAGGAAGGGATATCCAAGCAAGTGCAGTAGTAGTTTCCTTTTTCGAATTGAACCATGGTTCCCATTTAAGGGGTCTTATACAATAATAAACATCCTTGCCTGAAGAAAAATAAGTCGGTGTTGAGACGTAGTAACACATGTCTATCACACACAAATTCATTCTTACATTTTGCTTTTATTTCACATTGTATAGGGAGAATTTTGCGAATTTCATTTTATTCAGGTCAACTATAGGATACCTTTCTTATAAGGGAAAACTGACGATCTTCTTGTATTATCATGTTATTCACTTTTTCATCTTTCTAAAGCACTATTGGTTCACAATGAACATACATTATATTAAAGATAGAAATAGGGTTAGGCTTTTGTATTTTTCGTATTAAAGAATTCAAAGTAAGAGGACATTATTGGTGGTGGTGGCGGCTCCCCACTAGCTGGAAGAGGCAGCCAGCTATTGCTATGGATAGGGATCTGGCCGGTGATGCTATGAGGGCAATAAGTTTTTTTTTCTGCATCAAAAGAATGGAGGTTATTTTGTAAGACTTTTCTTATGAGGATAAAATAACAAGACCAATCCCGTAAGGGTCATTTATTTAACTCAAAAATATCGATTTAGGTTTTGGTTCTAATGTGATATGAAGATTTTATTTATATATATATGAAAAATGGAACAAAAGATAAGTTAAATATTCTTCGATTCTACCAGTGATACTACCTTGTGACTCATACCACTCTATCTCAAGTCTCACTCCCCCATTCCGCTGCCAACTCCATCACTAAAAATCAATCCACCCTTCATATCCCATCATAACCTGACCTTCTATCATATTAAGGCTTCCCAAACTTACCTGTCGTACCAAACACTAGAGTTACCTTACTGATTAATTTCACTATTTTTATTGAGTGCATATCTTTTTTAAGTATTAAATAAATGCATTATTTTTGTAATTATATTTTTATTCATGCTAATTTCCATATATAAGAAGGTGACAGATACATTTAATTTCTATTGGGGGAAATTTATGAGTATAAATATCACGATATTCCATCTATTATGAGTACCATTTGTTGAAATTAGTTGATCAACAAAGTTTGTTACTAGATTTATTTTATTCTAGTAATAGAAGGTAAGAAGACGGTAAGACGTCAAAAAAATTTCTTGGTAAAAATAGAAAACAAAGTCGCTTGATATACCTTCTTTTCAAAACGTGGATCAAGTTTATATAAATTGGCTGGTGAATTCTTTCAATAGTACGATTTTGACATAAGAATAGTTTTTCTTCTCCAACGAATAATTCTTATTCATTTCTTCATCCAACTGCTGAAGTAGTTGCTCATCTTTTTTTTAATCGAAATATAGAATTAAGTGACACTACACAACTTGTTGCGACACATGTTCGAAATAAGGTGAATGTAATCACATATAAATTTGTAGAGTTTAAAATTAAAAAAGACGTTGCAAGAAAGCAAACAATTATACTTGACCAACTTAAAACTGATAAGTTAATTAAGTTTGAAACATGGCTAAATATTGCTGATTTTAACATGAAATATCTTTGGAAACAATTGGAAAATGAAGTTGCATCTAGTGGTTCATAAACAGATTCATCTCTACCTTATCTTTTGAAATTTTATTATTGGTTCTCCCATTGTTTTTTATTTTATTTTATTTTATAATTTTATATTGATGATGCTATTACTTTACAATAATATTTATTATGAAATATTATTTCCATTAATATCAATATATTTTACTCTTATATGTTTGATCTCTTATTTTCTTACTAGAGGGTCATAGCTCGTGCCCCTTCCTTCTTCTAATAAGAGAGAGCGAAAGACGCTAGCCCCTTGTCTCCTGCTCAAAGTTTCTTGTAAACTTGTCACAAAAGGCACGACAGTGCTCCTAAGATCATAGAAGCAACGCCGTAGAAAAAGAAGAGTTGTTGCAATGTAGCTGAGCACGGGCCCAACATGCATGGTTTCGATTTCTTTTTGTCACTATAACAATACAACAACAATCAAACTAAACACAATACCGACCTTCTTGGCTAACCGCTGAAGTTAACATTAGCAAGACATTTTTGTACTTGCTTACATAATTGAATGAAACATAGAATTTCTTTATGTAAAAAGAAGTCCAAGATAATTGCAATTGAGTCGCCTATTACACCCTATCTTATCCATAGTTCGGAAAGTTCAAGTTTGCAATATTTATACTATCCATAAACTAACTTCACTCTTCATCTGGTCATACGCCATGAGCACAATCCAACTCAGTCTTATGAGACAAATGCTTCAAGTAAAATCTGCAAAAAGAGAAGATCAAGTCAGTTTACAAATGTCAGAAAAATGCACAAATGGAAAACCTAGTAAATTACCAAATATAAGCACACACTGTCACATGTATGGCTTTTAAAAGAAAAAACTCTAATGAAGTTATTACATTCTAATAAGATTGAAGTTGTTGATCCACAGAATAAAGAAAGAGTAACATTACCTAACAATCATTGATTTCAGATTTGATCTCAGAAAATGAGAATTGTTTTAGCAAATGTGGAGCCACATCGATGCAACATGCCAGTACTTCATATATCTTGAGATAGAAAATCTCCAAACACTTGCAGTTCAAGATGCCCGTATGACAACACAACCTATTCATAATGAAGCAGAAATAAATATATGCTTTCCACTGAGTTTTTAATTTATCTATAATTACAACCTGTTCATACATGGAGCAGAAATAAATGTATGCTTTCCATCGAGTTTTTAGTTTATCTACAATTGATTCATCGACTCTGTAAACTTTTCCTCCTTATTCCTTTCATTAGGTAAAAACAGTAAGTTTAGTTTTTGGGATAAATATTTATCATCAACATTTGATCAAGATCAGCGAATTTCTATATTTCAATTTTTATGTTTTAAATTATAGCTCCTTCCAATGCTAGCACAGAAGTCCTGTAAAGTGTAACACATATATTACTACCATCATGGTCAAATAACTATTATTTGTGGTCAAGCTGATTTTAGTCTCACAAAATCATATAAAGATCTATGAAAGACGTGAAAAATGTATTAACTGTAAATGTGCTAAATTATTAGCACCAAATGCACGGTGCAATAACATAATTATACATTCAGAACCTATTCAAAGCAGTGAAGAAGATAATCACACTGAGAGCAACTTACTTGAAATGCTTTCCGAACCATTCCAACATGTCTTGGTTAGCCTCACCAGATAATTTTACACCCATTAACATGTACCTCTCTCTTTGCCAATTCCAAAAAGTAAAATTTGATGAGTGTTGTGAAATCACAAAGTGGACACCATGTAAATGCTCACAAAGAAAAGATTTCAAGGACATAAGCAAATAACCCATTGAGAATTGCAGATTCTTCAAGTAAAGGAGTGTTGCCTGTCTCCATAGTACCTGAAAGTAAAAAAAATAATCATGTTATAGATTCGCAGGAGTGCTGAAGATGAAGGCATTTAAAAATGGAAAGCGTTTATCTACTCCATCCGAGGAAAGCTCATATCTTCTAATACTTTTGCAATTAAGTTCACCATCTTTAATTCATCTGCAAAGTACTCATTCACTGAGTTTCTTTCAGTATCACAAAGAGTAAATTGTTGTCCACTCTAGAGTTTTAAAAGACACAAACCAAGCAAGTTTTCGCACTACCTTGTCTGAGCAAAAATAGGGCAAATAGGAAACATTCTTATGAGACAAATGCTTCAAGTAAAATCTGCAAAAAGAGAAGATCAAGTCAGTTTACAAATGTCAGAAAAATGAACAAATGAAAAACCTAGTAAATTATCAAATATAAGCACACACTGTCACATGTATGGCTTTTAAAAGAAAAAACTCTAATAAAGTTATTACATTCTAATAAGATTGAAGTTGTTGATCCACAAAATAAAGAAAGAATAACATTACCTAACAATCATTGATTTCAGATTTGTTCTCAGAAAATGAGAATTGTTTTAGCAAATGTAGAGCCACATCGATCCAACATGCCAGTACAGCTCACTCTTATCAGCTAAATATTATGACGACAAAGCAGACATTGAATGATCCAGTTTCTGCATTGAGAATAATGAATCAGGTGCTTTCAAATGAACATCCAAAGATTGCCTGATATATGGACTGTGTGATATGACACAACTGCTCTAAATTACTCTAATTTCAAAGTCACAGAGGGCGATGAAACTACAATATATTATCTGCAAAATGATATACTAACACTATAGATAATATCTATGTTCAGAGTAGAGATCTAGAAGACACAAACCACAAATCAAGCTCACTCTAATTAACTAAGTTTCAAGATGATATCTGACTAATATATGAACTGTCACATAGTTGCTCTAAACTAATCAAATTTCAAAATTACAGAGGGCAATGAAACCACAGTGACCTACACGATCACATCAAGCTGTCCACAAATATAATACAGATAAAAAACCTCAAAAAAAAAAAAACTCATACTGCTCTAAAATAATTACATTTCAAAATCTCTGCGAGCCTTGACAGTTTAGTATCCTAGCAGATACGAAGACAATACAGATAAAAAACCCTCAAATAGAAACTCAACTGTTCTATAAATAATCAAATTGCAAAATCATAGAGAGAGATGACACTACAATATCCTAAAAGATCACATTAAACTATCCACGAAGACAACACATATAAACAACCTCAAGAAAAATAATAATCAAATTACAAAACCACTAAGAATGCTGTCTATAAAGTATCCTAGATGATCAAATTAAGCTATTCATAAATACAATAAAAGTCCTCAGATTGCTCTTAAATAATCAAATTTAAAAATCATATAAATCGATGGCACCACAGTACTCTAGAAAACCACATTAGGCTATCTACGAAAACAATAACAAACACTAAGATTGCTCTAAAATAGTCAAATTTCAAAATCATAGAGAGCGTGTAGTTAAACTACAGTATCTTAGATGATGACGTAACAATACACAAAGAGAACACAAAAAAAAACACTCTAGACTTGCAACTGAAGAACTGTTGTTGAGTTGACGGATAAAGATCTCCTTGTAGCTGTAGAAAGTGTTGATAATAAGACTGAGAAGCTGATTGATCTCAGCTCGGAAAGCAAACATCTCTGTGTCCAACATTTTTTGTTGATCTAAAGAGTTGTTGCTACATTGAAAAACAATCTCAGGCGAAATGAAACATAGAGGGGCTCAAAAGCAAGAGAGGATTTATGGACAGTTTTAAGCAACTTTGTATCGAGGGCTACTTACTTGGAATTCTTTGGAATGCTTTCCGAACCATCTCAACATGTCTTGTTATATCCTCGTCAGTTAATTTTACACTCATTCACATGTAACTCTCTCTTGCCAATTCTCAAAAATAAAATTTGACGAGTGTCTGTGAAGTTACGAAGCGGACACCATGTAATACTCCCATTTTCCTATTCCCAGAGATAAAAAAAAAGTTGGTTCAAGTTGCACCTATTTTCAATACAAAAGGAAATTAGAAAGAAGAAAAGATTCCAAGGACACAAGTAGATAATCCGTTGAGAATTACATATTTCTGAGAAATTATGAAAAAGAATCCTACAAAACTTGATACTCCAAGCAAATGAGTGTTGCCTATCTCAATTATCTGAAAGCAAAGAAAACAGTCATGTTAGATTGGCAAGGACTGCTGAAGCAAAAAGCATATTAAAATTGAAGTTGTTTATCTACCCTTCAATGTCGCACCCGTTTCACATTCTTCAAATATACACTACTTTTGGAGAATCTAAAATGCACCCATTGCCATTTTTGAAGAGTCCGAACAATATAGGTGAAAACTGAATGAAAAGGTCAGTCTCACAAAAATGGACTCACTCCTCTTGCATATCTAAAGACTAAAAGTTATCAAGTAGTTCGTCAAAGAGAAGAGCAAGATGCAAATCAATTTAGGGGCCATTTGAGTGATCAATAAATTTTGCCCATGAAGCTTAAAACTAAAATAGCTCAGAATGCAAATATTTTAATCAAACATTTAAAAAGATAGTTAATGGGTTTGAAGATTGGATATAATACATTAAGGTTAATTACTTGTATTTAATTAGGTGAGTATAATCAACCAAATGTGCCACAATCCCAAATTAGTTGGAGTATCTTCTATATGCCCATTCACTTATTCATAGACAAAACTATGAAAGATGGAAACTTTGAGGCAACAATACTTTTTTTGAACGAAGATCACGTCTCCCTCTTTACTCTTTTTATTGTTCTTTTTTTTTCTTTAAGCTTTCCAGTAAATCCTCGGCTCTATCCTCCTTTAGCCTTCTTTTGTACAAATTTGATAGCTTTTTGTACAATTTGTTGAAGCCAGAGTCTAAATGATAATATCTATGCTGAAAATATGAATACTAAACTGAAATGCTATAAATGAAAGAGTGATTTTACTTGATACAAAATTTTCAACTTCTCTCACAATGTGGTTCATTCCAACCTTATAACCCAAGAAGGAAGTTACCTTGCAGGGTTTGCTTGTGTCATCCTTAGGCACTGGAAAAAAGGGAAAAACAAATTAAAATAGATGACGGATAAGGAAAAGCTTAAATATTTACTAAAAAGTAAAATGTACAGAAGTTGTAAAGAAGCTAAAAGCCAAACAGAAAAAAAGAGAAGGTTGCAAATGATAATTTGCATTATGCATCTTCTGGTAACTCAAAGATCTTGGAACATATTAGAGAACATACAGATGTTAAAAGTGATAAATTCAAGAACTGAATCCTACGCTAGCTTATTGTCTTCTTTAATATTGTCACGTTTGAGTACAAAGAAATTTATGCTATCAGATAGTTCCTCTTCAATAGGTTAGCTCCGATGTAGGTGCTTAATGGCCTTTATTGATTCAAAATTAGAAAAATAAAGTGCAATTCACTCATCAATGTTCTCTTTATATACGAATCCTTGGCAACGATTGTTTGGCATATGGAGGATGCAAGAAAGTTATCCTTATAATTCACTCTCTATACTATCTCATGAATTAGAACATATTCATATAATCAAAGATCAATTCAATCAAAATAATGTACGGTTTGTAAATAAATAACAAACATAAAGATTTTCTTAGACAATCATCAAACACTAAATCACTGGAAGGGTCTAGTATTTCATGAATCTAATTTGACGAATTCTCTTCTGTCAAAGTCGAAGCCTTAAAAGATTTGCAAAACTCTCACCTTTGGAGCATGATCAAGCTTTAGGTTCAAATCTAAAAACATTAGTCTTTTTAGATTTCGAAAGTCTTAGTAGAAGAGTTAGTTCTATAGGGCTTAATAATATCACTTACATTTTTGTGTGAATTGTGATTTGCCTCTTCCAAATAGAAGCTACCTACATATAAATTATAAACATCCTATTCATTTTCATCAATTGTAATATGCGGTGAAAGTGAACTCAAAGTTCTGTTGAACATTTGTTGAACTATAAGTAATCATTATAAGTAGTTCGAGTACTTCTCGAGATGAACAAACTTTGTTTCAGTATAAGTAGTCATCGAGCTCTTAAAAAATTATTACATGAGAAAGCGGACATTCATATAATTCCACCGTTCACTATAATAATATCTACAGTGCAATTCTGCTTAACATGATATTGAAACCTCAATACATAACAACACCACATAGTAGGAATGAGCTTAGAAGCAACTATTTCCCTTTCCAATTTTTAGAAATATGAGCAAGAATTGGTGAAACACTCACATGCAGTAACCTTGCACAGAATACAAAATTCAAGAAACTTTGAACGACAATGAAGAGACATGCATGAAAATTGATGTGCAAACACTGAAATAAACTAATAAGAGAAGTACTAAATTAGCAGTACGGGACTTCCTGCACATTATCCGGTTCAATCTCGACCTATCAAAATTTCAGAAAAATAAACTGACGAAAAGAAGGAAAAATGCAAAGAGCTCTTTGATCAACCTTCTTCAAGGAATGCTTAGACACTTCTTCATGAGAACTTCAGCAATTTGGAGCAAAGGATTGAATCAATTTTTTTACAGAGAAGAGATAGAAGTAGAACTGTAGAGAAGCCTTGAGAAATTTGGGGACTAAATGAAAAATAAATGTACTACGTGTCTGCCAGAAAAGGGAAAATTGGAGGACATTGAACTTAAAAACATGCACGTGTAAGCAAGAAAATGCAAGTTTATGGTACAGTTTTTGTTTCTTTCCGTACAACTATTTGATGTTGTCTTAGTCCTTTTCTTGTTCACTTATAAATAAGGGTAATATTATGTTATTAAGTACCTCGGATAAGGTATTACTTAATTTATAGTGTTTTTACACTTTTTGTGATATAAAATAAGAAGAAGTAGGGTTAATTCTTACCGTCACTCATTGATGAAAAAAAAATTCACACGTATTTAATACTTAAAATAAGTCATATATTTATTGTATGAGCATTTTATTTTTGTTAAATAAAAAATTGAATCGTTAGGAATCAGAATCGATAAATCAAAAATGATAAAAAAATATTTTATTGATTTGATTATTAATTTTGCGTATTTAAAAATAAAAAAATCAATAAAACGAATTAAAACAAAAGTAAGAAAAACAATTTCATCTCTTTAACTCTTTCAAAGAACTTAATCTAGATAGGTAAATGACCTTCTAATAGTCTCTCTCTCTCTATATATATATATAAAGGAGAATCAAGACAAGGTGATGTGGCACCTCTCTATGGCCTCCATTCCTATATATACTTTTTCTCATTTTTGTGACATTTTTTCTTTATTCTTTTCATTAAATAATTTATTTATTAATTAAAAAAATTCAATCATATTTACTATTGTAATGATATGTAATGAGTTACAAAAAACCTCCATCTATTGACATTCTCTACTTAAATAACATGTCTTTTCAATTCCCTACTAAATAACTATTTTTATGATAATTTATTTATTAATTAAAAAATTCAATCATATTTACTATTGTAATTATATGTAATGAGTTACAAAAAACCTCTATCTATTGACATTCTCTACTTAAATAATATGTCTTTTCAATTCACTTCTAACTATTTTTATGGCTTATTCAATCTATAAATAGCAGTCATCTATGGAGATGTTGAATGTTCATTTCCATTTTTTCATTCTTTTTTTTTTATTAGTATAGATTTTTAATTTTCTTTTCTTCATCTTTTTATTCATCAATCATGTACTTAATAATAATAAAAAAAAGACATAAGAAAAGATGTCAAGATATGACCTTCACTTTGATGAAGATCATAGATATATTCTTCAAACGTTAATCACATTATTTGGTACAAGTTCAACAAAATGAAGAAGGAAGCTTAACTATCTTGGAGATACATGAAGAGAGAGTCATAGTAGTATAACAGTTTGAATGATTTCCAACATTTTGAAGATTCATTGTTGTATTACTTTGATCTCTATTAATATTATTCTATTCTTTTTATTTTATTTCTTTGTTTTGAACAACAAAATGGATATTCTATTCATTGTTGTTGTTGTTTAAGATAAGACGCACATTTTTATTTTTGTATATATCTATTTGTCAATTTCTAGCTAATTAATATTTTAAATTTTGTTATGATTGAAAAGTATATTACCTATGGTATATTTTTTTTTTATATCTATTGGATATTGTTGCCCCTAAAAATATATGATATGGTCTATCATATTAGAAATCAGTCACAAAATAAATGAATAAATCTTCTTTTTAGTATTAACTTTTTTAATGATATAATTTAATTGAGTACACCCGATATAACTATGTAAGAATACACTACATTGATGTTCTTTTAATTAAACATATAAAGTTGACATTTATTTTATAACACCCCATAACTAGAAAGAACTAGAAAGAAGTTAAAAATTAGAAATAGTCATTTTTGGAAAGAATATAAAAATCTGTAAAATTTATCAAGTATGTTAAGTTGGGTTTTTGGTCAAATTTAAACGACCATAACTCCTAGATCAGGATGAGTTAGGTGTGTTTCTAGATATCGTAGGAAAGATCTTGGAAATACTCTTTCCAACTCCGCCGAGTTTGCGCGATTCTGAGTTTGTATGAGTGAGATATCCCCATTTGAAGTTGGGATGTTGAAATAAGGAAAGTCTAATCCGGATTTTAGAAGGGCATTACGGTCTTTTCCATACCCCATGACTTAATTTCATTTTTTGGTAATTAATTGGGGTCTAAACTGATAGGATTCAGTTTACACTTTTGGGAAAAGAGTTAGGATTTTGAGAGAAGAAAAAAAAAGAGGAGACGGAGCAAGAATCGTCAAGATTTTCAAGAATCGCCTGTGGATTTAGTCAAGGGGTGATCCCTACGAGGTATGTGAGTTCACATAGCGTTGGGTTCGTTCACCCACGCGCCAAACATGTTTAATTCAACATGAATTCTTCCTAAAAGTTGAAAGTTTGAATGTTCTTGATGTGTGTTCTTGAATTTACTTTCGTTCTTGAATTTGGGATGAGATTGAAGAGTTCTTAAGGGTTTAAGTTCGATTTTAGAGTTCTGTTTGATTAGATTCTTCTGTAGATATGTTGGGTATCTGAATCTAAAGAGAACTGGAGAAAAAGAATCGAGTTTAGGTGATTTGGGGTTAGAAAACGAAGAAGGAACAAGTCGGCAGAATCTGGGTACCAGGTCCACGTCGCGGACATGTTCTGCAGAATTGACAAATTTTCTCCACGTCGCGGAGTGGTCACAGACCATTCTACCTCAAAATTTATTTCGCGACCAAATAATTAAATGCATCTCCGCGTCAGGGACTTGCTTCCAGACAATGATTTCTTGATCTTTTCTCATGTTTAACTATCTAAAAACACTCCTAAACATCATGAGATCTTTCCTATCACAAATCACAATCCTTGAATCCATAATTCAATTCAAGGATCAGTTAAGAGTCAAGTCAAGAGAAGTTAAGAGTCAAGTTAAGAGAAGTTAAGAGTCAAGTCAAGAGAAGTTCATAAAGTCTTCCAAGAATCTTTTACAAATGTTTTAACTTTGTTTTAAGACTTGAGTTTTGAGTTGAGTAAAGAGTTAAAGTTTGTAGTTCATTTCTTCAAAAGATTATATCGAGACAATGTATTCCCAAAGAGTAAAATGTTTTCACATTTAAAGAAGAAAGGAAACCTTGATTTCCAAAAGAGCCTTTGAGCTAATTTTTCAGTAAAGAGCCTTTGAGCTAGTTTTTCAGTAAAGAGCCTTTGAGCTAGTTTTTCAGTAAAGAGCCTTTGTGCTAGTCAATTAAGCAAGAGAGGAAACTTTGATTTCCAAGAGGAGCCTTTGAGCTAAGTTTTTGAGTAATTATCTCAAACCAAAGAAATAAGTTATGTTTTTAAACTTTTCACATTTAAACAAGAGAGGAAACTTTGATTTCCAAGATAGCCTTTGAGCTAAGTTTTTGAGCAATTATCTCAAATCACAGAAAGATGTATGTTTTTAAAAAAATATAAGAGCTAGTATCATATTTTGGGAGTAGTATTGAGCACCGATATAGGGGAGAGTTCAGACAAATCACAGCCCCCATAAACCATGTAGCCACCATGGATAAAAAAGGGTCATACTTTTTAGATGATTCCTTAATACTTTTTAGCATATACTAGTGAATCCACTTAGTAGTTCAGGTTCTATACCCCGACAAGGTATAGGACGGACCTGTTAGCATGAGGAAAAATGTTGTATCATCACGATAGCTCTTAAGTGATAGTTGTCGGTTAGAGAAACTCCCATAACAGTATTGTGTATTTTTATATACATCATAAATATTTGTATTTTCATATACAAACAGAGTTCATATTGTATCTTTGCATACATACAAAGTTATTATTGTATTTCTAAATACACAAAATTGAAAACCATGTTTTAAAGCTTTTCTTTATACTGCATTTATTTACACTGCTTTATATTGAAATCAGTTGAGTTGAGTCAGGTAAGTTCTTCAGTTCCTTTCAAGCTTATGTCTTGTTTTAGATTCCCCCTCGCATACTCGTACATTTAATGTACTGATGTCATTTGGACTGCATCTTTTTATGATGTAGACACATCAAACCAAGATCAGTATCCAACGCATCGTTGATCCAGTTGAGCACTCAGAGTCTTGTGGTGAGCCTCCTTGCTTTCCGGAGGATCCCTTTTTATTGCTTTCCGGTATATAGTTCATTAGGATGTTTTGGGTCTTGTCCCGACATCCATCTCAGTTATTAGAGGCTTCATAGATAGACAATCAGTTAGTTCATTTGTCTTTACTTTGTTATTGGCTTATGTTCAGATTTGAGTTGTCATTTGGGCTAAGTTAAATGTTTATTTCTAAAATATTATGAGTTAAGTTTGAGACAGTTGAGTTATCTTGCATTTAAGTTCTTTTCTTAATGCTTAAAGTCTTCCGCTAAGTAAGTAACCAAGGGTTCGCTTGGGGACAACAATGGTTATCGAGTGCCAGTCATGCCTAGGGTATAGGCTCGGGGTGTGACATATTTAATGTGAATGAATAACACATGACAAAGTGAGTTAGTAATGAAATCGTATGAGCATATATGTAAAGTTGTGAATAATA